ACGGTCCCTGATCGTTAATCACGGAAACCGTACGCATAACTAATAATCTACCGACGATGCACGTTCGGGAGACACTAATCACTCGCCCGCTAATATATCCGGGACCCGCACCTCTCTCTCAGCTAATAAATCTCCAGTTAGGAGTACAAAGACGTACTCCGCGTGCCAAATAAAACGATCCACTATAAGATCTGGAAGCTCATAGGAGATACGAAAAAAAAGTTTCGTAAAAAAGTTTCTTGGACTCTCTTGAAGATTTAGTTTAGTTGATACAGGGTGGCCCAAAAGTGTGCCCGACATCATGTTTGTTATTTTAAATTAAATTCCCTCCATACTTCGACATTTTTTGAATCTTTGGTTAAAATAAAGCTCACCTTCTTAAAGAATTCCTATTAGAATTTTGCATAGTTTAGGCAGAAATTAAGGTTATGAGTTTTTTTTTCATATTTTAATTGCCCCATATAAAATAGTAGTGTGACGCTGCTGATCCAGCTATTGCAACGAAAATTTGACCATAGACTAAGGAGATGATGCAGTACTCAATCAGTTTGACAGATGCGCCTCGGCTTATATAGGGTGTTCCAAATAGGTGGTGCCGTTTTAGCGTATTCAATTAACAAGATCTCAAGATTTTCAAATGGAACACCCTGTATTTTTATCCAAAAAATAATGTAAGTTTGTAATTATATTTAAATTTGACTTACTTTTTGTATCAATCTTATCAATTCTTGTTGAATTTTTAATATATAAGTAATCTTATATTCGAATTCGAATATAAGACAAAAATTACCTTATTTTTTGTCCTAGAATTGATATCTGGATAACAATATAGGGTGTTCGATTTGCAAATCTTGGGATTTTGTTAATTGAATTCGCCAAAACGGCACCGCCTATTTGGCACACCTTGTATAAGCTGAGGCGCATCTGTCAAAGAGATAGAGTAGTGCGTCATCTTAGAGACCGTTCCGCGTGATTATTAAGTGATTATTAACCAAGAATTCAAAAAATGTCAAAATATACAGGGTGTTTTAAGACACCCTGTATCGAGTCGGCTTCATTAAAACCTAACTAGATCTTGCGCTAATCACCCCGCCCGTTGTCGCTCGTTAAACGTCGGCAAACATCGTAACTCGATAGTAAGTTAGTTTTCCCGGTCATAATCCCGGGCGAGTCCTTAATTTCATTCAAAATCCGATGTAATCTTGTTTCGTAGGTTGGCTTTTAGTTCGGACGTCGGCGACAAACAATGAGCTGCGGCGAGCGTCCGGTAAAGCGTGTCCTTCACAGAGCGACGAAACTTCTCGACAAAGCCCGCGGAGTAATTAGAAAACTTGGCGGGTCCGTCATTTGTCAAAGTTCGAGTTTCCGGCGGCAGAGTTTGGAAAGATCGGCAAACGCGGAAAAGTTTATCCGTCACGCGCGATGCCGGAAATAAACATGAATCAAAAGCGGGGGCATCATTCATCTTCGTAGGGGAACAATTAGTGTGCCGGTTTTATTTTCCGTCCCCCCTCCTTCGCGATTAATCACGCTCGCCGCACCATTTCTCTTCGGGTCGTATAAAAGTCGCCGGGCGTCGCGACATCTCGCGGCCAACCCGCGCAAATTTGATTGATACGACGCACGCCGTGGGATGCTGTAAACCTTATTTAAAGCGACCTAGTCTCTTTGTCTGTTATCGCGAATGTTTGCCGTCCCGCTGCACCTTTAGCTGTAAAGAAAATTACGGTCGAGTAAAAGTGAACAGAAAGACTAATTAGTTTTTGTAATTATACGAATTCAAAGATAATGAATGGACACACGTGGATTCAACTAACGAGAAATCTGAAATCAATATTCGATTACCGTATTTGCAAAGAAAATTTCAAAATAAAGTTTAATGGAACTGACCGCCATTCATTTAAAACGTCACTACTGCGCAGATTTAAAGAAAGCCAACAACGAGACGCAAATGAAGATTCAATGATATCGCAAGACATCTCAACCAGGAGATACAACCTATTAAGTTTTGACAACGAGTCTGCCCAGTGAATGAGATTGAACTTGGGTAAGATCACGTCAAGTGGACCCCCCATTTACCTCTGCGTCTTCGGTTCAAGAATTTTTTCGGTTTTGCAAACGGTTTTTGAAAAATAGTCTTTTGTGTAGACCCTTAATTTTTTTTTAAATACTTTCCAACCCTCCAGCCTTCCCATTTTCAATATGGTCCGTCACGGGGCAAAGCTGCATAGATGTGCCAAATATGAAGTCGATTGCTCCATTCGGACACTTATCGTGTTTCATAGCAAAGTCCAAAAAACAGTCGAAAATCGCGAAAAGAAGATGGATACCGGAGTCGGATCAGGGCCATTTCTTATAAGCTTATGTGCCTCGTGGAGGGTTAAAAAGAAGGGCAAGTTTCTAGTTTGTAGCTTCAACGGTTCGAAAGTTATTTAGGAAAAACCAAAAGACTAGAACGGAGAACGGAGAGAAAATTTTTTTTTTCTTTTCGGCGCTGATCATTTCTGTACGAACGGCGATCCCGTAGGACTTACCGTTACCGAGATATAAAAATTTTCTACGAGCGCAGATACTTTCGAAAAATTCGATTTAATCGATTTTCGAAAGTAACAAGAAATAACTGTGCAATGGTGGATAGAGGACATGTTTAACTTTTTACCGAAGGCGTGGCTTAAAGAGGCCGTGCCCTAAAAACGAAAGTCGCTCCTAAGAGGTGGTAATCGAAGGGACTGATGGGCGGGACTTCCCCTAATATTTGTGGCGAAGTCCTCATTTCAGTTCCGCCCCTTAGGGCGTCAGTTTTTGTTTAAGCTTCTCCCATTGGGCTTAACAAAAATCGCGGAAGTCCTTCTTGAAAATTGAAATTTTTCCGACTGTAAAGGAATGTTTTCATATCCCGCCCAGGTGAAACCCAGCGTTCGGGGTTGCAAAGTAAATAAAACCTCGACACAAAAGGCCGGCAGAATGGTGGCCGTAATGGAATCGCGTTTGCATAATGTTATGGTCGAACTATGGCCGCGGAAAGCGAGAAATGAATAAAACATGCGCGGCGAATTATGTCTTTATGCGCATAGCGTCTGTCGCCCGTCCTCACCTCCGCTTACACGTCGAATTGTTATTTAAAAGACCGAAGATGAAACGCCGGTCAGCGACTGCTCATATGTAAATAACAACCAAATGTCAGGTTCTTCTTCTTCCTTTCTTCTAACGGCCACTACTACATACGGTCATTCGGCCAGCTTACAACAATCGTGGACATTATTCCAAAATCCTAAAGGATGCCTTCATAAGGGAAGGGTCTGCACACGCTGGATTACACGCATTAATACATTGACTAAACACTAAGAACATTAAATCCACACAGTGGAAAGCACTTTTAAGTTGTGCAATGCTCACGACAGAATAAAATGTCAGGTTGGTCTTAAAAGTGCTGCCTTTCAGGTTGCCGCGTCATCAACCAGTTAACAAGTTTAAGCTGTGAGTATCAAAACTTGTTACTAGAATTTCATATGAAATAAAACATTATTTCAAAAGAGTGCTTTATAAACTTTCAATAAGACTCCTCAGTAGTATATTAATTAATAATTTTAAATTTTTCGGTTCAACAAAAATCAGTTAATCTTCGACAAATAGCAGCAAAAATTATCATTAAGTTCCTAAGGAACAGTAGAGGACCAATATTAGAGTCTTGTGGTGCTCCTGAAGCAACGAATTTTATTCGACTCCCTACTTTCTCTGATTCAAATACGATTTTTAGAGAAATATTGCCTACGTACGAAATCCAAATTTAATCGAATACCTTGGCATATACGATTGTTCAGCTTTTTCTATATGTTTAACAGAATTTGCCCAACTTTGTGGAGGGATGTTAAAAACTTCGGTTTCTATAAGTTTGAGGACATTGGAGTTAACAACTGGGAAAAACATTGTTTCGACGAATTGCAGATTTCAATTGGTGCCAAACAGGTTCAATGGGATTAAATATACAGTGGTAACTGTATGCCCTAGATAATTATCACATCCTTTTGTAGGTTCAGGCTTTGTAGAACCTCAATTAATTGCTTTTTGGTATAATCTTCGTGAGAACAAATGTCGTTGTTATACATGTAGTTTTGGATGTTTGCGTATTATATCTTATTGTCAACATCGCTTCTTTTGTCCTCGCTGAATTGGGATTATTCACACTTTTCCATACAGTTGATGTTGGAATGTTCGTCGATGTGGCCTAAAGATGCTTGTTTTCTACATTTGGCGGGAGCATCTCCTGAGATATACTAGACTCGCACATGTTTTGCTTAATTCGCACACACTGTATTTCACACGAAATAAGAATGATTACTAATAAACTTAAACTAAGTAGTATACCAAACCAAAGAATATTCAACACAGGTAGGTATAAAATTATTTTCTATTAGGGACAACAATTTTACCTGAATTGTATGTTAATGGCCATCCTTGGATAATCCCATTCAAAACCAATTGGTCACTTTCCTATATCTATGAACAGACCATACCTCCAGAGTACTAGAGGTAAATTCACAATCTCCCGTCCTCCGATAGACATCTTATGATCCCAAACTCACAACGGCAACATTTTGGAAATAAATTTCAAATTTATCAACGATAAGGATCAATAAGTCCAATCGTTATGTTTCATTAAGGGCATTGTAGTGGTTCTATTTTTAGAATGAACAAATGACCATAAATGTTTTAAACGTTTGCTTTGAAACATTGCCAAGTGATAATGTTCGGCGTTTATATCCTTTACCACGTCTAATGTATACCACAGCAGACATTTATGACTATCAACGGCCGCAGAGACCCACGCCCCCTACGGGCGAACTTTGCAACTCGGCTCGGCCGCAAGAAGTTGCCCGAAATTTAATGTATTAAACATCGCCGACGTCGCGATAACGCATAAATTCTACAGCGACGCTTATAACGTATTCATGGAAGTTGATTAAGGACTAGTACAAGCTGTTAACAGAGCGCGAACTGACCTCATTCGTGTTATGAAGACTTGGGCGAAATCCAGCGGGGTCCAGGACACTCCCAAGTCGGTATGGAGCACCTCAGCGAAGCCCGCGTATTTTACCAGCGAACAAGCCGGCGAGGGCACATCTGCGGACAAAAGACAATCGAGAGTATATAAAATGATCTAAAACGTCATCGTGTAATTTTAAACGACAGTAAAAACGAACGCGATCCCTTAATTGACGTCTACTTAAACCGGGAGGGGGGAGCGGGGTGAGCGTTAAAGTTGCAACGCGGAGGTTTCAGAGTGGGAGGGGGTCGTAAAAGTTTTTGCCCGGCATAAAGTTTGAGGACGACTGCGAGATAATTGTGTTTTATTTGCGGCAGTTACGTTTAAGGTTGATGACGGTTCTGATTTTAGATGGCTTCCGGTTAAGCGGCCGATTCGGTGTACAAAAGGGGACGCGAAATGCGGGCTAAATTCGGTGACAGTTTTGGTCTTTAAGAATTTTGCCGTAAAATTTCGCGTTTGCATCGAAATTTTGAAACTTTGTATTTCAACTGGTAAATTTCACTTTTACCCACAAATGAGCATGAGAAGCTTAATATAATATAAAAAACATCTCTAATATTGCTGTCACAAACCCCATTTCGTCGTCGAAAAACCCTTAGCAACTTGTTATTTTTTTACGCCAATCGCTTCGAAGATGTCAACCGCTGACGAGGTACACTGTATTATACTTTAGTTTTAAAATATCGAGTTATAAGCAGTAATATTTCAAGATAAATGTATAAAATTTAGACTTGTAGGTTTTCCAATATTTCCAATAGAAACTGGAAATTATAAATTTTGCGTTATAAGTCATAAACTTCGAATTGCAATAGCAAATTATAAAATTGGAAGTGACTTTCCTCATGTAAACTATAAAATTTCAATTTAGGAAATAGGAAAATAATAGGAAATTTTAAAATTTGGTGATATCCGTCGCAAAATTTTCAGTTCTAAGTGGTGAAATTTCAACACAAATCACAAAATTTTAAAAGTTATACAGAAAATTGTAAAATTTTGTATTATAATTTGTAGAATTTCAAGTAACATGTAGTATAATTTTCAGTTGTATATTTCTAGTTACAACTGCAAATTATAAAAAAGATCGTGATATAAGTCGTAAAATTTCAAGTTATAATACAAAATTTTAAAATCTCGAGTTATAAATCGTAAAATTTCAAGACAAAACACAAAATTTTATTAGTTGTACTTATAAATCTTAAAGTTCTAGAATTTCAAGTAACATATAGTATGATTTTCAGTTATAAGTTTTAAATTTCTAGTTAGAACCGCAAGTGATAAAAAAATCCTAATATAAGTCGTAAAATTTCAAGTTATAATTCGAACTTATAAATCTCGAGTTATAAGTCGTAAAATTTCAAGACAAAATACAAAATTTTATTAGTGGTACTTATAAATCTTAAAGTTGTAGAATTTCAAGTAACATGTAGTATGATTTTCAGTTATAGGTTTCAAATTTCTAGTTGCAACCGCAAGTTATAAAAAAAATTATGATATAAGTTGTAAAATTTCAAGTTGTAATACGAAATTTTAAAATCTCGAGTTATAAATCGTAAAATTTCAAGACAAAAAATAAAATTTTATTAGTTGTATTTATAAATCTTAAAGTTGTAGAATTTCAAGTAACATGTAGTATGATTTTCAGTTATAAGTTTCAAATTTCTAGTTGCAACCGCAAGTTATAAAAAAAAATCCTGATATAAGTTGTAAAATTTCAAGTTGTAATACGAAATTTTAAAATCTCGAGTTATAAATCGTAAAATTTCAAGACAAAAAAAAATTATTAGTTGTACTTATAAATTTTAAAGTTGTAGAATTTCAAGTAACATGTAGTATGATTTTCAGTTATAAGTTTCAAATTTCTAGTTACAACTGCAAGTTACAAAAAAATTCTGTTATAAGTCGTAAAATTTCAAGTTATAATAAGAAACTTTAAAATCTCGAGTTATAAGTCGTAAATTTTCAAGACCAAACAAAAAAATTTATTAGTTGTACTTATAAATAGTAAAATTTTAAGTTTAAGTAAGTTAAGTTAAGTAGTCAATTTTCACTTACAGCAGGAAATTATAAAATTTAGAATGATACGTGGGAAACTCTCCTAAAATTGCCAAAATTCACGTTATAATAGGAAATTTTAAAATTTAGTGCTACAAGTAGAAAAAAATTCAGTTATAAGTCGCAATGGCAAATTATAAAAAAAATCCTGTTATAAATCGTATAACTTCAAGTTATAATAAGAAATTTTAAAGTCTCAAGTTTTAAATTGTAAAATTTGAAGAGAAAACGTAAAATTTTAAAACTTATACTCATCATGAAATTTCCAACTGAAAAAGAAATTTATAAAATGTATAATAAGTCTTAAAATTTCAAGTAATGCGTAGTAAATTTTCGGTAGCAACAATATATTATAAAATTTAGGCTGAGGAGGCTTTTACATGATGAAAATCCATTTATCAAAATAAATAAGAACCAAAAGTTCAGATTTTCACGAATTTATATACTTTGACAAGACAATTGTTTCGACAAATCTGAACTTTTAGTTCCTATTTATTTTGAAATTTTAAATCTCAATTTATTAGTGGTAAAATTTGAAGTCATACTCATCATAAAATTTCCAACTGAAACAGAAATTTATAAAATGTTGTGTTATAAGTGGTAAAATTTCAAGTAATAGGCAGCAACTTCCCAGTTGCAACAAAAAATTATAAAATTTTAATGACATTTATAGTAAAATTTCAAGTTATAAAAGGAAATTTTGAAATTTGATGTTGGTAAAATTATCAGTTATAAGTCTTAGAACTTCAAATTAAAACACGAATATTTGTAATTTAGTATTACAAAGCTTAATATTTTAAATTAATGGCCTATTGCGGAACTGTCGCTTTCGAATCGCGCGATACGGATCTGGCGCTCCGACTGCGGCCCCGCGGAACGTAATTGCGAATAAGATTGGCCCGATGCAAAGATTAAAAAATCGCAAAGCCGGAAAAAAAACCATCGCGTTCCCGGGGAACCGGAAGAAATTTAAATATTTAAAAATATTTCGCGTCGGTGGAGGGCAGCCCCAATTTACATCCGGGCGCTCGCTCATACTTGTTTTGTTCATTTTTACGTGCATTTTAATTGAAATAATTTCGGTTTTTATTATTCCGGGATTTGTTTCGCAACGGGCAACGGGGCGGGGTTTTATTGCCGAGGCCTCCTTGATACTGCGGCCGCCACCCGTAACGTCGTGTAACGGCCCCCGACCGCCCCCCGTTACTTTTTAATTCGGTTGGAGGGGGTCACGTGTGTAGGCAAATATACATACAAATTGCGAATTTTAAGCCCCCTGCAACGTTTTCCTTTCGGTAAATCCCCCCAGCCCCCCGATGCATATTCATGCTACAATTTAACGATATTAAAGGGTCCGGCTCGGCTGACCCGCGGGCGTAGATTTTCATTTAGCAAATGGAGTAGCGCTCAACTCCCGTTATGGAATTCTATTTCGCCCCGCATTTACGGATGATTTTTTCTTGGGGGGCGGGGGGGGCGATACGAAACCTTTCGCGCTAATTTGAGGTTCCAGCTTGTCGTTATGTTACCAGTGACGAAGCGTAGTTCGGCCTTCCCTGTGTAGTTTACCTTTGACGCCGAAACGCGAGGTCTGTGATGATCCTGGGGCATCCCGACCGCCGCGGAACGTCGTCGTTCGTAGTGATTTCGATTTGCATTCGAAAGGTTGTCTCCCCGAAACCGGATCAAAGCCTGTCGTTGACCCCCCCCCGGACGCTGTTTTTGGGGTCCCATTAGCCCCAGATTAACTTATAATCTGTTTGGGCAGGCCGCTCTTATTAGCCGGGTCGCGTTTTTTGTGTTGGCGAAAGGGTTTGCCGCCCTTTGAAGGAATCGGCGAGTCTTCGTTCATACCAGGGGCCTACAAATTATTCGACCTGCTACCCTGTGCAATTTCGGAAATGTCTCAGTAGTTTAGACAGCAATTTCCAGATTTTTATTATTGTCGTATGACTTCGGTTAGCAATGTGCTAATTTCACAGCCAGACGCCAGACGAACGACCTTGAACTGATTCAGTTCCCGCCATGCTCGGACCTTCCTTATGGGAATCTACATATCGCTGCTCCGGCAGAACAGTGACGTAGGTGCAAAATGTTTGAAAATTGAGTTATTAATCCTTAAATCGCTTGATATATATGGCGATACAATATACAAAGTTTTAGGGACAAATACCAAAATTTCATGCTTCTTGCAGATATGGTTTTAATTTGAAAGCCTTCATTGCAAATCGAAGAGAGCGTATCATCGGCGACCAGTCCTCAGAAATTGGGATCGACTCAAGGATTTAACGTTAAGCTGTGCACGAGTCTAGTGTTCTCTCAACTGTCTTACGTTTGGTATCAGTCACCTCTAAGACAAAAATAATTTAAAATTCATGTACAGGATGTGTTTGTATCATCACGTGTCCTGTAAATTTGGCTATTTTGGATATCAAGATTGGATACATAATGCCACATAGCAGTTTAGTTTGGGTCGATACAAAAAGAAACTAACCAACAAAAATATAAAAATACCCACAATCTAATTAGAAATAAAATTAGAGAAGCCAAATAATTACGGATGCTGAAAAAATGTCAAGATATTGAAGAGTTTAGCCACAAACACAATTTGATTAACCCCCACAAAGAAGTCACCGGAAATTACAAAAATCAAGCATGTACCACGACGTGGACGATAAAAACAAACGAGAAATAAGCAAACATTGGAAGAGACAGTTTGACGACAGAAAACCATCTTCCCATACTAAAATACAAACAGAACACGGTCCAGACATACTGAGCTCTGAGATCGAAATAGCTCTAAGTACATTACACTAATGAAACTAATTAACGGAAATAAATTAAAAATTTTAGTACAACTCTTAGACTTTCGTTTAACTAGTCTAACGAGTCAAACTTTGAAATTGTTGTTGAAGGTAATACACAACCGAATTCGACAAAAATATGAACAAGATATAGGCGAGCAGCAAATGGGATTCCGTGATGAACTAGGGACTAGAGAAGCCTTGTTCGCCCCGTCAGT